CCTAGGCAAATGCCTTGTTTGCCTTGTGGTAATACACCCTGATCATACCCCTGATAGGTGCCAGTACCCCCCCCCGCCCACATTCATACCCATTTCTATAGGTGCCAGTACCCCCGCCCACACTCACATCATACCCATTTCTATAGGTGCCAGTACCCCCGCCCACACTCACATCATACCCATTTCTATAGGTGCCAGTACCCCCGCCCACACTCACATCATACCCATTTCTATAGGTGCCAGTAACCCCGCCCACATTCACATCATATCAGTTCTATAGGCACCAGCACTACCAACAACATTTCTGCTTGTACACGTTCCTATAGACACCAATATAGATCACCATGAAATGTCAGAGAACAATATGTGGAGCCCCTGCATCTTCTATACTGCCTTTCTGTTACAGATGCTGGTCTTGGAACTCACAAAACATCTCTACATGTTCAATATGTTCCCCAAACTGTATACATTAATACTTCATGCAACCCCCCTTCATCAGCGGTGACATACTGTACATATCTAACGTGACCAATAGGAATATTCAACCTTCACTAAATAAAATAGAAGAAATACCATTATTATGTAATGTAACACATAATAACAGCAATAATAATCATAAAAACAATCCGTATCTGTGCCAATGAACATTTATACACCTAGTACAGTAGTGGAAGGGGTCTACTATGCCAAGATTCCGTGCATACAGATTTTTAACCCCTATAAGGTAGAACTTCGTAACATAACAGATATATAATGTAACCATGATGAAAACAATAACAGCAATCTATATCTGTACAAAAAAACATTTTAAGCGACTAGTGCAGTGGTAGAGGTGGGTGATGGGTTACTTTGCTGCCCAAGACCTGAGATGGTGGCACTGACCCTCCAGAAATGAAGGAGATTAATGCATGCCCACCAGAAACAGAACAAGGTGGTCAATTCATACCCTCCAGAGAGAGAGAAGATGGTTAATGTAACACATAATAATAAAAATAATCAGTATGAGTACAAATAAACATTTTAAACACTGGCCCTTCAGGAAAGAAGGAGATAAATGCATGCCCACCAGAAACAGAAGGGGGGCAATTCATACCCACATGATAAAGGAGGAGGTTAATGTAACACTTAATAATAAAAATAATCTGTATAAGTACAAATAAACAATTTGAACCCCTATTATGATGGGTGATGAGGGGCGCAATATTATCTTGCCAGCTAAGACCTATGCTATTGGCACCAGCCCACCAAGGAAGGAAGGTGGGTAATGTAACACATAATAATAATCCATATAAGTACAAATAAATATTTTAAATCAACTTATTAATATTAGAGGGGCGGTGATGGGGGAAATATTATTTTACTGCCCAAGACCAATGCTGTTGACAGTGGCCTTCAAGGGAAAGAAGGTGGGTAATGTAATTATTAATAATAATAATAAATAATAATAATAATAACGATCCATAGAAGTACAAATAAATATGTTAAATCCACTTTACAATAATAGAGGTTGGTGATGGGGCAATATTATCTTGCTGCCCAATACCTATGCTGTTGGCATGGACCCTCCAGGGAAAGAAGGTGGTCAATATAACACATAATAATAACAATCAGTATGAGTACAAATAAACCTCTTAAATACCTATTATTAGAGTAATGTTGGGTTGAGGAAGTGATGGGTTACCTTGCTGCCCTGAAGACCTGTGCTGGTGGCAATGGCCTACCAGGGGAAGAAGGTGGTTAATGTAACAAATAATAATGATAATAAAAATATTAATGATTCATATGAGTACAGATAAACATTTTAAACCCCTTAAACAATATATGAGGAGTGGTGATGGGGAGTAATATTATCTCGCTCCCCAAGACCTATGCTGGTGGTACCGGCCCTCCAGGGAAGGAAGATGGTTATTGTAACACTTATTATTATTATTATTATTATTATTATTATTAATAATAATAATCGATATGAATACAGACAAACATTTTAAATACCTTTTACAATATCAGAGGGGTGGTGGGGGGGAGTAATGTTATCTCACTGCCCAAGACCTATGCTGGTGGCACTGGCCCTTCAGGGAAAGAAGGTGATTAATGTAACACAATAAATATAATTATAATAAATAAAATAATAGTAAGGATCCATATGAGTACAAATAAATATTTGAAAACCCCTTTGTACAATAATAGAGGGGTAGTGATGAGGGTAATATTATCTTGCTGCCCAAGACCTATGCTGGTGGCACTGGCCTTCAGGGATGGAAGGTGATTAATGTAACTTATAATAATAATAATAATAATAATAATATAACAATCAGTACGAGTACAAGTAAACCTCTTACACACCTATTAGAGTAGTATTGGGCTGGGGAAGTAACGGGTTACCTTGCTGCCCAAGACCTTTACTGGTGGCACTGGTCCTCCAGGGAAAGAAGGTGGTTAATGTAACACATAATTATAATAATAATAATAACAATAATAATGATTCATATGAGTACAAATAAATATTTAAACCCCTTGTACAAGGTAGTGATGAGGGTAATATTATCTTGCTGCCCAAGGCTATGCTGGTGGCACTGGCCTTCAGAGACGGAAGGTGGTTAATGTAACTTATACTAATAATAATAATTATAATAACAACAACAACAATTAGTACAAATACAAGTAAACCTCTTACACAGCTATTAGAGTAGTATTGGGCTGGGGAAGTGATGGGTTACCTTGCTGCCCAAGACCTTTACTGGTGGAACTGGTCCTCCAGGGAAAGAAGTTGGTTATTGTAACACATAACTATAATAACAATAATATTATTATTATTATTATTATTATTATTATTATTAATAATAATAATAATAATAAATAATAATGATCCATATGAGTACAAATACATATTTAAACCCCTTGTACAAGGTAGGGATGAGGGTAATATTATCTTGCTGCCTAAGACCTATGCTGGTGGCACTGGCCTTCAGGGATGGAAGGTGGTTAATGTAACTTATAATAATAATAATAACAACAACAATCAGTACGAATACAAGTAAACCTCTTACACACCTATTAGAGCAGTATTGGGTTGGGGAAGTGATGGGTTACCTTGCTGCCCAAGACCTTTACTAGTTGAACTGGTCCTCCAGGGAAAGAAGGTGGTTAATGTAACACATAATAATAATATTAATAACAACAATAATAATATAATGATCCATATGAGTACAAATAAAATAATTAAACCCCTTGTACAAGGTAGTGATGAGGGTAATATTATCTTGCTGCCTAAGAACTATGCTGGTGGCACTGGCCTTCAGGGATGGAAGGTGGTTAATGTAACTTATAAAATAATAATAATAATAATAATAATAATAATAATAATAATAAAAAAGATCCATATGAGTACAAATAAATATTTAAACCCCTTGTACAAGGTAGTGATGAGGGTAATATTATCTTGCTGCCTAAGAGCTGGTGGCACTGGCCTTTAGGAATGGAAGGTGGTTAATGTAACTTATAATAATAATAATATTAATAACAATCAGTACGAATACAAGTAAACCTCTTACACAGCTATTAGAGCAGTATTGGGTTGGGGAAGTGATGGGTTACCTTGCTACCCAGGACCTTTACCGGTGGCACTGGTCCTCCAGGGAAAGACGAAGGTCAATGCATGCCAACCAGCACAAGGACAGGGTCAACTCTTGCCCTAGCAGGGTCCATGCATGCCCACCTTCCCCCCCCCTTCAAGTCGCTCACCTCTTGATGTAGTTCCTGCCATACAGGATCTGTTGCAGCAAGGTCACCAGGGCGAAGGCGCAGATGAAGATGAAGAACAAAGTTCTGTTGCCCAGCAGGTCCCTGCCAGAAGAGGGGTCTGCGTACCCCATGGAGAAGGACGGATAGGGCTGGGGGGGTCGGTGGTACTGCACTGGCCCCCTGTGTATTTATGGCAGGGCTGCAGCAGGGAAGGCGTCCTTGTTGATCACAGTGGAAACATGACGAGCCCCTTGCCCAGGACAAGGTGCCCCATTGTGCAGCCTCCTCCTCCGGGGAGCCCAGGGTAAAGTTTCCAAGAGCCCAGGACGTGGGCAACATGCAAAAGCAGGCTGCTCTTCCCCTCTGGAGGGGTGGGATACATGCAGATCCCTGGCAGACCTTTTTATGGGTGGCTTCTCCTCTCCCCCCCCCCCCACCTCTTACACCAGCCTGCTTGCAATGATGTACTCCACTCTGCAGGCTTGGTGTTCCAGATGAGTGACAGGCTCGCTGCAAGTGCCCCGGGGTGCTAGTACCGCTGCTGCATCGGTGTCACCCAGGCAGGCTATGCAGATACACTGAGACGTGCCTGGCTTGTGCTATGTGACTGATCGCATCTCCCAGCCTCCGCAATCAGTGCAGTGTGTGTGTGCGGCAATCAGTGCACGTGTCCTTCATTGTCCCCCTGATCAGAGTGGAGCACATTGAGGAATCCCCCCCCCACCCACCCACCCCATATACATCCAAGGTCACTCTGTGCCTCTGCCAAGGACACAGCTCTGGTGGATGACTGCAGCATCAACTGACAGGCAGCTCAGCCCCTCTCCCCGAGCAGCAGGAAGATTTCCTCCACACACATCCATTGATTTCCTGTCTTTTTTTTTTTTTATAGATGAGATCGGAAGGCTAGGGCGACTTTTTTTTTTTTTTGCAAGCGGTTAAGTCGAAAAAAGCGCGCCGTCACGTAGGATGGCCAATTGACCCGCCGCGACGCTAACAAATTTGAGGTCGAAAAGTTTATTCTGTAAGGAAGACAAAAATGCGGTGTTGCAGAATCGATCGGCTGTGCCAGTCGCAAGACCAACTGACTTGAAATTCTGTGGCATCTGCAATTGCTGTCATTCCCAGCTGGTGGAAGCGATGAAAGGCAGGAATAAAAACGAGAAGGTTGGCTGTACACTATGCAATCTGATTGTACAATCTCCTTTCGTCTAGGCGTTTTCCGTTGCGTTTGGCTATATTCACTATATCTGGTCTCCCTGGACCCTGCATTCACTATATCAGGTCTCCCCGGACCCTGCATTCACTATATCCGGTCTCCCCGGACCCTGCATTCACTATATCCGCTCTCCCCGGACCCTGCATTCACTATATCCGCTCTCCCCGGACCCTGCATTCACTATATCCGCTCTCCCCGGACCCCTGCATTCACTATATCCGGTCTCCCTGGACCCTGCATTCACTATATCCGGTCTCCCTGGACCCCGCATTCACTATATCTGGTCTCCCCGAACCCTGCATTCACTATATATCTGGCCTCCCCAGACCCTGCATTCACTATATCTGGTCTCCCCAGACCCTGCATTCACTATATCCGGTCTCCCCGGACCCTGCATTCACTATATCTGGTCTCCCCGGACCCCGCATTCTCTATATCCCGCTCCCCGGACCCTGCATTCACTATATCCGGTCTCCCCGGACCCTGCATTCACTATATCCGCTCTCCCCGGACCCTGCATTCACTATATCCGCTCTCCCGGACCCTGCATTCACTATATCCGGTCTCCCTGGACCCTGCATTCACTATATCCGGTCTCCCTGGACCCCGCATTCACTATATCTGGTCTCCCCGAACCCTGCATTCACTATATCTGGCCTCCCCAGACCCTGCATTCACTATATCTGGTCTCCCCAGACCCTGCATTCACTATATCCGGTCTCCCCGGACCCTGCATTCACTATATCTGGTCTCCCCGGACCCCGCATTCTCTATATTCCGCTCTCCCCGGACCCTGCATTCACTATATTCGGTCTCCCCGGACCCTGCATTCACTATATCCGGTCTCCCCGGACCCTGCATTCACTATATCTGGTCTCCCAGGACCCCGCATTCACTATATCCGGTCTCCCCGGACCCTGCATTCACTATATCCGCTCTCCCCGGACCCTGCATTCACTATATCCGCTCTCCCGGACCCTGCATTCACTATATCCGCTCTCCCCGGACCCCGCATTCACTATATCTGGTCTCCCCAGACCCGCATTCACTATATCTGGTCTCCCCGGACCCCGCATTCACTATATATACCCTGCATTCACTATATCCGCTCTGGACCCTGTATTCACTATATCCGCTCTCCCCGGACCCTGCATTCACTATATCCGGTCTCCCCGGACCCTGCATTCACTATATCTCGGTCTCCCCAGACCCTGCATTCACTATATCTGGTCTCCCCGGACCCTGCATTCACTATATCCGGTCTCCCCGGACCCTGCATTCACTATATCCGGTCTCCCCGGACCCTGCATTCACTATATCTAGTCTCCCAGGACCCTGCATTCACTATATCCGCTCTCCCAGACCCGCATTCACTATATCTGGTCTCCCCAGACCCTGCGTTTCTGCACAGCAGTCTGTTTAAAAGGATTTCCGACGGGACACGTTCACATCTTCGCACTTTCACCTAGTGCGTTTTTTTTTTTATATAAAGGGTCAGGGACTTTTTTTGATGCAAAACGTTGCCTTCTTTGGTTCGATAAACTTCAATGGAGACGCTGCGGAAATGCATGTATTGCGTTTTTGATGCGTTTTTGTGTTTTAATCTGCTCAGCAACAAGTTGGGGGGAAAAAAAACGCATAAAAAACGCATAAAAAAACGCGCATGCGCAAAAAGCACCGTAAAAACGGATCAAACGCAAACTGCATAGGTGTAAACCTGGCCTTAGATCTACTATCTGCTATGTAGTGGAAGGTGTCAAACCCGATGGATTGCTTAGGCACGTCCTCGTATTACATCTTCTTGGCCTCATGTGCACGGGACGTCATTCCCGGCTGGTGGAAGCGATGGAGACGGCAGGAATGAAAACGAGACGGTTGGCTGTACACTATACAATCTGATTGTACAATCTGCTTTCATCTAGGCGTTTTTCATTGTGTTTTGCAGACACGCACAGCAGTACATTTAAAATGATTTCCTAAGGGACACGTTCACATCTCCGCATTTTCACCTGGTGCGTTTTTTTGTTTTTTTTTAAAGGGTCAGGGACTTTTTTTGACGCAAAACGTTGCCTTTTTTGGTTCGATAAACTTCAATGGAGATGCTGCGGAAATGCATGTATTGCGTTTTTGATGCGTTTTGTGTTTTAATCTGCTCAGCAACAAGTTGGGGAAAAACGCAACAAAAACGCATGCGCAAAAAGCAATGTAAAAACGGATCGAGCGCAAACTGCATAGGTGTAAACCTGGCCTTAGCTGTACTATCAGCTATGTAGTGGAAGGTATCAAACCTGATGGATTGTTTAGGCACGTCCTCGTATTACATCGTCTTGGCCTCATAGGCACGGGACGTTTTTTGCAGCTGCTTCCAGGGGCTTCCGGCGTTTTTTGTTTTTTTTTACTGCCTCTAAACTCCCCTCCATGTCAGTCTATGGGGGGTCCATTAACACATAAATTGTTGGAGGAGTTGGGAGGCATAAAAAAAAAAAATGGACTGCCTGTGCAGAGGATGTTTAGCTATAAAAATGCAAAACGCCTAAAAGCGCACCAAGGCGTGCCGAAACGCTAGGCGCGTTTAGTGTTTGAGCGTTCATTTATTTCATTTGAAATGATTTATTCTGGCCAATGAAATTAACACCCAAACACTTGACGCAGGTAAATGTGCGTAAACACGATACACACTTTTACAAGCGTCAAGCGGTTTTTTTTTTGCCCAAAACGCTGCTGGCTGCTAGGGTAGGTAGTTCAACGTCAGCGTGCATGAGGACTAAGGGCCGGTTCACACAGCAAGAACCCACTCTGGATGCATTCCGGATACGTTTTTGCTTACCGTTCACACCACACACCGGTGCAGTCTGTTATGTTCCAGTACAGTGCAGAAAAAATGCTGCATGTTGTACTTTTTTTCTCTGCACCAGAAACTGGCTGGAACTGACTGCACTGGTGTGAACTAGGGCCATTGGAATACATAGAAAATACTGTGCATGCATTTTTGATGCAGAAAAAGAGCGCACTGAACTGCATCTAGTGTAAACTAGCCCTAAAGGAGATTGTACAATCTGATTGTAGAGTCTATAGCCAGTGTTAAAGTGTTACTAAACCCCGGACTCTGCATTCACTATATCCGGTCTCCCCGGACCCTGCATTCACTATACCTGGTCTCCTGGGACCCTGCATTCACTATATCTGGTCTCCCTGGACCCTGCATTCACTATATCTGGTCTCCCCGGACCCTGAAATCACTATATCTGGTCTCCCCGGACCCTGCATTCACTATATCTGGCCTCCCCGGACCCTGCATTCACTATATCCGGTCTCCCCGGACCCTGCATTCACTATATCCGCTCTCCCCGGACCCTGCATTCACTATATCTGGTCTCCCAGGACCCTGCATTCACTATATCTGGTCTCCCCGGACCCTGCATTCACTATATCCGGTCTCCTTGGACCCTGCATTCACTATATCCGCTCCCCGGAGCCTGAATTCACTATATCCGGTCTCCCCGGACCCTGCATTCACTATATCCGCTCTCCCCGGACCCTGCATTCACTATATCCGCTCTCCCCGGACCCTGCATTCACTATATCCCGCTCTCCCCGGACCCTGCATTCACTATATCCGGTCTCCCCGGACCCTGCATTCACTATATCCGCTCTCCCCGGACCCTGCATTCACTATATCTGGTCTCCCAGGACCCTGCATTCACTATATCCCCGGACCCTGCATTCACTATATCCGGTCTCCTTGGACCCTGCATTCACTATATCCGCTCCCCCGGAGCCTGAATTCACTATATCCGGTCTCCCCGGACCCTGCATTCACTATATCCGCTCTCCCCGGACCCTGCATTCACTATATCCGCTCTCCCCGGACCCTGCATTCACTATATCCGCTCTCCCCGGACCCTGCACTCACTATATCCGGTCTCCCCGGACCCTGCACTCACTATATCCGCTCTCCCCGGACCCTGCATTCACTATATCCGCTCTCCCCGGACCCTGCATTCACTATATCCGGTCTCCCCGGACCCTGCATTGACTATATCTGGTCTCCCCGGACCCTGCATTCACTATATCTGGTCTCCCGGACCCTGCATTCACTATATCCGCTCTCCCCGGACCCTGCATTCACTATATCCCGTCTCCCCGGTCCCTGCATTCACTATATCCGGTCTCCCCGGACCCTGCATTCACTATATCCGGTCTCCCCGGACCCTGCATTCACTATATCCGGTCTCCCCTGACCCTGCATTCACTATATCCGGTCTCCCCAGACCCTGCATTCACTATATCCGGTCTCCCCGGACCCTGCATTCACTATATCTGGTCTCCCCGGACCCTGCATTCACTATATCTGGTCTCCCGGACCCTGCATTCACTATATCCGCTCTCCCCGGACCCTGCATTCACTATATCCCGTCTCCCCGGTCCCTGCATTCACTATATCTGGTCTCCCGGACCCTGCATTCACTATATCCGCTCTCCCCGGACCCTGCATTCACTATATCTGCTCTCCCCGGACCCTGCATTCACTATATCTGGTCTCCTGGACCCTGCATTCACTATATCTGGTCTCCTGGACCCTGCATTCACTATATCTGGTCTCCCCTGCATTTAAAAATGTCCCTGACCCTCTCCAAAGAACACGTCGGGTGAAAACGCAGACGTATGAATCTGCCCCACAGGAAATCATGTTAAATGGACTGCTGTGCGTTTCTGCAAAACGCTGTGGAAAACGCATAGGTGTGAACCTATAAGTGTCATTTCTGACTGCTGCCTCCTTCCTTTGCTATCAGCATGGGTCACTTTTGAAAAGTTTTCCTGACACCAAGAGAAAAATGGTGACAGGGGAAGAGCTCCAGCAGGTTGACAGCCTCAGCTCTGTTCCTGTGTACTGTGTGGAGGGGGGTGTCTCTTCCGTCCAATCAGCTCTCAGAGCTCTCCTCACTGAGCTCGGCAGTGTGTAATTTCAGCTGTCCGCCCCCTTTTTTCAGAGTTGAGAGATCCTGTGTAAATTCTGCATTTTGAATGCATGTAGGGGATAGATGGCTAATGATAAACAGGTACAACTTATGTAGGAGGATTTGTTTCATCTCTGTGTATCACCTGAGGACAGTCACTTTACTGGGTATATATGGGGGTTTACAACCACTGTCGTGCATAGATTGTACAATCAGATTATAGAATGCATGGCCACCCTTAGGTTGGCCACACATTGTACAATCTGACCATCAACTATACAGAGCCTGTCTGATTTGATAATATTTGAATGAATTGATTGGTTTGCTAAAGTAGAACTACAGGCAATTGTTTTTTCTTTTATGAAAGAGTAAGGGACGGTTATAACCCCTCTCTGGTTTATTTTGCCATCTGTGCCCCATTGGGGAGATTTCCCTTCACTTCCTGTCTAATAGCCAAACAGGAAATGAAAGAAAATCCCTGAAAATGAAATCCATTGCTGCCCCCCCAGGTCACCAGAACTAGTGTCCTCATTGGAAGATTTCCCCTCTACTAAGGCTCTGGGGACAACCCATAATATCTTTCATTTTCTTGATGATGATAAACAGAATAGAGAAGGTGAATCTACCTAACGGGGTCACAGACAGCAATAAAAACTGACAGAGTTTCTAACCCCCCCCCCCATTCACTTATCGCATCCCAGTGACTTCAATGCAAAAAACGCTCCCTATTGACCGCAATGCAAAATTGGTTCTCATTGACTTCAAAGCAAAATCGCATCCCATTGACTTCAATGCAAAAACGCCCCCTATTGACCTCAATGCAAAAATGCCCCTTATTGACTTCAATGCAAAAATTAACCCTATTGAAAAATTGCGTCCCATTGACTTCAATGCAAAAATTGCGCCCCATTGTCTTCAACGCAAAATCGGATCCCATTGACTTCAATGCAAAACGCCTCTTATTGACCTCAATGCAAAATTGCTTCTCATTGACTTCAAAGCAAAATGGCATCCCATTGACTTCAATGCAAAAAACGCCCCCCTATTGACCTCAATGCAAAAATGCCCCTTATTGACTTCAATGCAAAAATGACCCATATTGAAAAATCGCATCCCATTGACTTCAATGCAAAACGCCCCCTATTGACGTCAGTGCAAAATTGCTTCTCACTGACTTCAAAGCAAAAATCGCATCCAATTGACTTCAATGCAAAAACGCCCCCTATTGACCTCAATGCAAAAATGACCCCTATTGAAAAATCGCATCCCATTGACTTCAATGCAAAATTGTGCCCCATTGTCTTCAACGCAAAATCAGATCCCACTGACTTCAATGCAAAAATGCCCCCTATTGACCTCAATGCAAAAATGCCTCTTATTGACTTCAATGCAAAAATTCACCCTATTGAAAAATCGCATCCCATTGACTTCAATGCAAAATTGTGCCCCATTGTCTTCAACGCAAAATCGCATCCCATCGACTTCAATGCAAAAACGCCTCTTATTGACCTCAATGCAAAATTGCTTCTCATTGACTTCAAAGCCTTCCCATTGAGTTCAATGAAAAAAACGCCCCACTATTGACCTCAATGCAAAAATTACCCCTATTGAAAAATCGCATCCCATTGACTTCAATGCAAAATTGCGCGCGCCCCCCCATTGTCTTCAATGTAAAATCGTGTCCTATTGACCTCAGTGCAAAATTGCTTCTCATTGACTTAAATGCAAAAACGTGTCTCGTTGATTTCAATACAAAATTGCCCCTATTGACTTCGATGTAAAAAGAAAAATCGTGATCCCTTGCCCAGAGTAGTTTAATGTTACTATGGTAACACTGTATTGCTTTGGTCACAGCATGTTGAAAAAAAATAAATTGTAAAAAAAAAGAAAATAGAATGTAATAAAAAAATTGAAAAATTTGAGAAGAAAATACAAATTAAATTATTATTTTTATTATTTTCACCAACAAAATGTAGCAGAATATATTTTGACCTGAATTTATGAAGACATTTTATATATTTGCTAAATTTTATAACAGAAACGAAGAAAAGTGCGGTTTATTTTTCAAAAGTTTCAGGTATTTTTTGTTTTATTTAGTAAAAAATAAAAAAAACTCAATGGTGATTAAATACCACCAAAAGAAAGTTCTATTTGTGTGAAAAAAAATGTCATATGGGTGCAGTGTTGCATGACCGCGCAATTGTCATTCAAAGTGCGACAGCACTGAAAGTTGAACATTGGCCTGGGGGGGAGGGGGTATAAGTGCCTGGTATTGAAGGGGTACAATCACATAGCTGTGCATTGCGGCTTTCTTCCGGCATGTGCGCGCCGACCGGGAAGGCTGAGCTATCATTCTCTGCAGTACAAGCCGATCAGCGGGCCCCAGCCAATGATTTATGGCCGTCACCAGCTGATCGGCTCAGGGAATGGCAGAAGAGAGCCCTGTGCTGCTAAACAACACAGAGCCCTCTGCAGACAGCAGCAATGTGCCATTTTTTGTTTTATTCCCTGCCAAGCAGGGAGTAAAAACCAGCACATTACTTAGTAAGACAACACACAGCACCCACAGTAAACATTGCCAGGCACACATTTAACCCCTTGATCACTCTAGATGTTAACCCCTTCCCAGCCAGTGTCAGTACAGTGACAGTGTACACTCACCGGCCACTTTATTAGGTACACACGTTCAATTGCTCGGTAACACAAACAGCTAATCAGCCAATCACATGGCAGCAACTCAATGCATTTAGGCATCTAGACCTGGTGAAGACGACTTGCTGAAGTTCGAACCGAGCATCAGAATGGGGAAAAAAGGGGATTTAAGTGACTTTGAACGTGGAATGGTTGTTGGTACCAGACGGGCTGGTCTGAGTATTTCAAAAACTGCTGATCTACTGGGATTTTCACGCACAACCATCTCTAGGGTTTACAGAGAATGGTCCGAAAAAGAGAAAATATCCCATGAGTGGCAGTTGTGTGGAGGAAAATGCCTTGTTGGTGTCAGAGGTCAAAGGAGAATGGGCAGACTGGTTGCTGCAACATTCAGATGGTAGGGTCAGAATTTGGTGTAAACAACATGAAAGCATGGATCCATCCTGCCTTGTATCAATGGTTCAGGCTGGTGGTGTCATGGTGTAGTGGATCCATCCTGCCTTGTATCAATGGTTCAGGCTGGTGGTGGTGTCATGGTGTGGGGGATCCATCTTGCCTTGTATCAGCGGTTCAGGCTGGTGGTGGTGTCATGGTGTGGTGGATCCATCCTGCCTTGTATCAATGGTTCAGGCTGGTGGTGGTGGTGTCATGGTGTGGTGGATCCATCCTGCCTTGTATCAACGGTTCAGGCTGGTGGTGTCATGGTGTGGTGGATCCATCCTGCCTTGTATCAACGGTTCAGGCTGGTGGTGGTGGTGTCATGGTGTGGAGGATCCATCTTGCCTTGTATCAATGGTTCAGGCTGGTGGTGGTGGTGGTGTCATGGTGTGGTGGATCCATCCTGCCTTGTATCAATGGTTCAGGCTGGTGGTGGTGTCATGGTGTGGTGGATCCATCCTGCCTTGTATCAATGGTTCAGGCTGGTGGTGGTGGTGTCATGGTGTGGTGGATCCATCCTGCCTTGTATCAACGGTTCAGGCTGGTGGTGGTGGTGTCATGGTGTGGAGGATCCATCCTGCCTTGTATCAATGGTTCAGGCTGGTGGTGGTGGTGTCATGGTGTGGTGGATCCATCCTGCCTTGTATCAATGGTTCAGGCTGGTGGTGGTGGTGTCATGGTGTGGAGGATCCATCCTGCCTTGTATCAACGGTTTCAGGCTGGTGGTGGTGTCATGGTGTAGGGGAGATTTTCTTGGCACTAGCAAGGTGTACCTAATAAAGTGGCCAGTAAATGTATGTTATTAGCACTGTTGTGGTGTCACTGGAGATGTCAATGGCAGTTAGTCAGCCCCTCCTCCCCCTCAGTGTCAGTTAGTGTCAGATTGCCCGCCGCACTATCACAGTCCCAGTATAAGTCGCTGATCACCGCTATTACTGGTATAAGAAAAAAATTCCAATATATATCCCACAGCTTGTAGACGATATAACTTCCACACAATCCAAATTTATGAAGAAATTATTTTTTTATTCTCTAAGTGGAAATGTTTTATTGTAGAAAGTAGAAAATATTGGGGGGGGGGGTTTCCAAATTATGGGTCTTTTTGTGTTTCTATGGCAAAAAATAACAAAAATCCAGTGATGATCAACCAAGAGAAAGCTGTATTTGTGTGAAAATAAATGATATAAATCTTGTTTGTGGACAGCGTTGCATGACCGCGCAATCGCCAGTTAACTTAGCGCAGTGCCAAACTGCAAAAAATAAAAATGTCGTGGTCATGAAGGGGGTGACATCTACGGGAGTGGTTAAAGCAGACCATACATCGAGAGGCAATTTTCTTCCCTTGCACTACGGATTCAAGGAAAGAAAATCGCTCGATTCCCCAATCGACACAGTCAGTATTGATGGGGGAACCCCTCCCCCCCAGTGCTACTGTATTGTGACAGTGGGAGGTTCCCCTGCCGGCAGAATACAATGATCACCGCTGACGGCTAGAGCCTGATAGCAGTAATTGTACGGGAAAAAAA